GGCACTACGTTTCCTGTCAATCGCAGTCTTGGGAGAGGTGCTCTCAGTTTAATGTGACAGTGTACATACATGCTCCGCCCACACACGGCAGGAACACGCTCATCACAAAGTGACATCCAGCCTCTCCCAGACTCAAACAATCACCAAATTTTATCCCAAACTGCTACTTCATGTTGGCAATATTTTAATGGCCACATTACTTGATGACAAGGTTTTTGGTTTTTTTTTAATCTTCACGTGCTAACGAGGAGGAAATGCCCATACCTGTGTTTGCTGAGGAGATGATAAGGGGCTTTTGAAGGCTTTGGCCATTATTCGTTTGATCTCTACACCAGTGCTGTTCTTAACACACATCGACTTGTCCCACTGGATTGCGTGGTCAGGTTCTGTTGGATTTAGCCAAGCCAACTCGTCCTCACAAATGTGGAGTGGAGGAGGTGGACGAATAAACTCTGGCCGAAAATGGCCTGTAATGATAGTATTCCACTGTTTTTATTAGTAAGTGAACATCTGTATGAGTAGACGTCTCACAAACACTGACGACATCATTACACCAAAGACCAATGCTATTAATTTTTGAAGAGAGGAGAGAAAGCATTACCACAATCTGGCAACTTTTAATTCATGAGTGATCATCACTTAATAGCAGAAGGGCGCAACTCGATTGGTGTATGTCTTAGGGGAAAAATGAAATAATGCTATTTGTCTTCATTAATCCTACTCCTTGTGACACAATGGTGTTCCGTGACCGCTATGACTTGTACCTCATTTTGCATCTTATTACCAACAAATATCAAAGTGGCATGAGTCAAAATGGAGGCCAGACTTCTAACATTCTCAAATACAGAGGACTCCTGAACACAGGTAGGAACTGTGCAGGCCCACTTACACATGGATTGTTTGTCTCTTTTTCTTGCTGCCACTGCGGTGAGGCTCAAGTGCTGAGTGTATCAATTAAAATGCTATGTGGTGTGAATCATGACCAAGTGAGCATTCATCTCTCCAGTAATTGCTTAGCCCTTCATCCTTCTATCCCCTCTAACTGAAGTGAATGCCTGCTCACACAGATATGCTGAGTGTCACACAGAGTTCAATTGAATATTACAACACTTGAGCTCATAGCATATGATGGTTAAGATTTTATGTCCACTTGACAGTTATGATACAGTTATCCTCCGTGATGAGAGCTCTTGTGAGCAGTCAATCAACTGAAAGGGAATTTGGAATATAGCTTGCTTCCAATATATATGGTCTCACTGGTAAAGCTCTCTTGCATTTTGCTTAATCTTGATCCTATATCTGACTCATCAACCAACTTAGAATTCTCTGAACTTGAGCCAGCGGCGTGCTGTCTCCGGGAGTCAGTCTCTACAACCTGTGCGTCAGCAGACTACCATCTTACTTGCCAATGTTGTATTCATTCATCTTCATGGTTAGCAGCCTGCACCTGATGTGCCAGTCTTGGGTGCCTCAGCCCCTACAGCCAGGTGACTCAGGAGCAGCCTACAGCCTGACACCTGACCCAAGGGCTTGAAGCCTGCCTGCTTCTACAACTGTGAGCAATTTCCTTGAGACCTCTGCATATGCAACACCAAAATCAAACAAAGTCACTGCCATTTACAGGTAGATTTGCCTCACATATTGATTACATAGGGCAGAACAGAACTCTCCCTTTTGGATTCCCAAGGCAGTAAGTCTTTACAGGAG